GCTCGGTCGAAGAGGACGACCACCCCCGATAGAGGAGGACCGTTCCTCGGTCAAGGGTATACGAGTAGCTGCGCTCCCCTGCTAGAACCTCCAAACAAGCTCTCAAGGTCCATTTGTAGGAGAACGTAGGGTAGTCAAGCTTCCAAGACTCCAGACACATCCAAATGAGGCGCTGCACGTGGCAGTCTGCCTTTCTTTTGACCCCTACATCACTGGAGTGATTGGTACGCTTTGCTTTTTTTTCTTTTTCGCTGCCACGTACCTCAAGAAAAGGCAAAGACGGAGGTAGAAAGTAAAGGTTTAATGAGTAGCAGAGAGAAATCTAGGATGAAATTCCCCTGCCCTCCAGCGCAGGTTTCTTGGTGCCACCCTTACCTACACTTTTCCTAACACTCATTGTCATCTAACACCCATTTATTTGTAGTTTTACTTGATAGATCAGGATTCAAGCTTTCCCAGCCACCCCGCCCAAACTCTCTCCTCTTGGTTTCCCGGGCGCCCTGCCCCGAACTCTCTCCCCCTTGGCCCCACGCAGCACCAAGCTCAAAACCGCAGAACAGGTCCGCCTGACTTTGACCCGGGCAGGCAACCACAGAAACTCCCCTCCGTTAACATAAAAGTGCCCCACAGACCGGGTGGCCCTGCCGGGTCAGCTCGCCCTCCCCTGCTGCAGCCCGCGATCACTCTCCCTAAAAGATCCCATAAAAGTCTCCTGTGCCCCCTTCATTCGCTGCTGTCTTGGCCGCTAGACAGCCAGCCTGCTCGGTGCCCCCAGTAAATCTTCTCGTGTCAGAATGCCTGGTCTGGTCGATTGCGGGCGTTCGCACCTAACATTATTAAGATGTAAATTCCGCGAGGTCCTGGAGTTTCTCAGCTTTCATTTCCCTCCTTCGTACAGTCTGTGTTCAGAGAATACTTATTTAATGAATGACCAAACAAATAGCGGCGGAGACGACCTCGCCCACGCGGAAGAGTGCTGCCAATCTCCAGCAGCTCAGGCGCGCATCTGGAGCTGCCCGTGCCCTGGGCCAGCTCGCTTCAAAACCCAGAAAGCGGCCTTGCATGTACGCGCAAACAAGAAAAGAACCTCAATCAACTTTTCTTAAATTGTGACTTTATTCGGAACAGAATTCTCCTTACACAAAGTCAACATTATTAAACACTAGGGACAAGCTATTTTTAAAAGCAACACTTTATTTCGGGAGGTTCTTAACCCCAGTGGCTCTCTGCCAGCCTGTCTTCTCATCATTAGGAATATTTGCTTCATAAATAAATAGTCTCAGCTATTCTGTTGTAAGCAAATCAACTCACTAAACTACTCCCCGCACTGACATATCTGAGATTAGACGACTTTGTCAGGTCATTTTAAATTCACATTAGACGAATGTTTTCAAGAAACTAGTAATACCGATTAATGATGTCTGTACCATTTTTAAGTTTCCATAAGATGGCCCTCATAGTCATTATATAAATGCACAGTACATTTGGTTGGAAATTATGAAAATTAAACACATTAAGTTGCTACAGTATGCTTTAATGACATAAAACAATGAGTAGGTCGAACATTTTCTTGCACACATGTTGCTTTTGGTCAGACGCTGAGCCGAAACAAAGCCTGCGATGCCCTTCTTTTCTCCTAAATGGAACAGGACAGTGCGTGGTGGTAGAGAAATGGTACCGCTCACGGAAAACAGCACCCGGCACTCCACCAGGGCCTGTGTTTGCACTTATGATATTTGTATTTTGTTAGACATATGCTTTCTTGGTCGCATTCAGTGCCTCATAAGTTCAAAAGGTGTCACAGTGTCACTCTTTTGGGTATATGTGGTCCTTTACATAAGTGATGGATCTAAGAAACTGTTCGACATTACTTTCCTACCTCCCTTCTGCGAGGCTGGGTGACGCCGTGGTCATTAATGGAATTTTATTGCGAAGTGAACAGTCACATCCAAAGCGGGCCAGTGCGGATGCGGCTTCCCCGCAGGGCTCCGCGGCGACAGGCGCAGCTGTACCCTCAGTGCGCCGAGGCCACTGGACTTAGGGGCTCGGAATGAGGGTCACCTGCACCGCCTCCTGACACCACAGGAAACCTGACTGTGGTGGGGTACAGGTGGAGAGGGGCAGTGGGGCCCGTCACGCCTGCTCGGGTCTTGCACTTCACCTTCTAATTCTATGGGAATTAAAAATGTGCCTAACAGGTGAGACTTTACGTTCACTTAAAAAAACGGGGCCGGGGAGATGGCTCAGGGCCGGGGATATGGCTCAGTAGATTAAGCGCTTCCCTGGCAAGTGCAAAAGTCTGAGTTCAATCCCTGGTTCCGCCAAAAACTCCCCCACCACCATCAAAGGGTCACCATTTCCTTCTGTGCGCCATAGCTTGTGTGCAGTCTGTCCTTTACCTACCGGGGCGGGCG